CGTGGAGGTGGTGGGTGGCCCAGAGGGCAGGCCGGAGCGGGAACGGGATGGGGGATGGTTTTTGGGCACTCGGTCTCTAAAAGGTTTGCCATCACTGGTATAGGATCTCCTGCTTGAGCAGGGACTATGAGACCTCCAAGGTTTTCCAACTCTTATTCTGTATTCCATTTTCAGCCATCCCACTTCACAGGTTTATTGTGGGAGAGGAAAGTGTATTATGTATATTCAGAGCCTTGAGTTTCTTATAAAGCAGTAAAGGCAGGATAAAAATCTAAAATAAACCATAGTGGAGTGCCTCCTACCAAATTTTGCAGTTAGTTCCAAAGGATAATTTAATAGTATCCAAAACTGTCAGAGAGCTTTAACCTTTGTGAGAGGTTAAGGAGCACAAAAATGAGTATACTACCACTTATAATTTTCTCATAATAAATTATATTTGGGTAACCAAAGGCTTTCCTTATTCAAACCCTTTTAGAGTTTTCGTATTTCCCATCTTATAACAAAATATTATATTCTAGTTACGAATCCTATCCTTCCAATTATAATAATACTTTTATTTCTAACAGTTATCTATTTTCTTAACCATATTCAAACATCTGTTTAATAGTATAATATCCCATCTAATAGGTCAAAACCTCTATTTTCTTCAGTCTTGCTCTAGCTTTCTTCCTTTGCCAAATAACTCTCCAAGTCAGTACATTTGAATCAAGGAAGAGAATTTGATTGAAGTATTTTTGGAAGAACCCATTTATATTCATTAAACAGCCTCCATCTTTCTCCTTCAGTTTTTCTTTTCATTTCTTGTTTGTCTATATTCAGCATTTCTCCTAACAGCTTTATCATCCGTTCAATCAGCTCTTCTTCCTTATCCTCACATGTGTTCTGAGATATTGAAAAGTAAGATATCTTTTCCATTTCCGGTGTTACCACTGCATCTTCTAATCTTTCATTTGTCTATGTCTGTTAATTCCTTCCTTTAGCTCCTCCATCTTTAGATCCGTTTCTTCTAATTTTCCTTCTGTTTTCTGTGTTATTGTAGTACAGTTATTGTACTGCAGTCATTGTCTAGATTTGTAAATTTAGATTAGAAAATTGTTCTTTTATCTCATTTGCGTTATTTTTAGTCTCATGAAATAAAACAATTGTCTATTGGATTGATTTCAGCATAGAAAGAATTTCTTTCTGAGATTCATTAACATTTTCATGTTGGTATGTCAAGCTGGAAGCTTCAGAGACAGGTGTTAGAGATGATTTTTTACCATTTGAGCTAAGTATGGAACACTCCTTTTGTTTTTGTATGTACTCTTTATAGTCCAATAGGGTCCCCAACACAGATAAGCAGCCCAAGAGGTTTTTTTCCCTTTTCCCAGCTGCAGTCTGTAAAAGTGAAAGTTTCCAGGAATGACAAAGAAGCAGCCCAAGAGGTTTTGTTTTTTTTACCTTTTCCCAGCTGCAGAAAAGTATAAGTGATAGAGATACTTTGAACATTGAGGGGAAATTAAAAAATTTAAAAAGAGGGAAAAACAGGATATTGATTGAGCAAATGGATGTTAAGTGCAAATGCAATTGAGATATGTTTTGGCTAGAAAAGATATTATAAACTGATACTATCGATATTATGTATAATACTAGAAAAATGTGATGAAGATGTCTATATTTAATTGTATATGTATTAACAGCAACAAGAATTTTATTTGCCCAGTGTGGAAATTGCATACCACCAGAAGAAGAGAGGACCAAGGAAGCACTGGATGGTGTAGTATTGGAACTAGATTGAGAAAGTTAATATGTACCACTGAATTACCAATGGACCCAGACAACATGTTGTTTATTAAGTACTTATGATTGTAAAATTAGAAAATTAATAAAATATTTTTTTTAAAAAATGAGTATACTACCATCATTCTATTTCCAGCTAAGGCACGGGTCGGCAACCTGCGGCTCCGGAGCTGCATGCAGCTCTTTGAGCCTTCCCCTGCGGCTCCCAGCCTCCTCTGCCATTTGCAGAGACAGAGACAGGCACTTGCGCTTCCCTTCCCTTCTCTGTCTCTCTCTCTCTCTCTCTCTCTCTCTCTCTCTCTGTGTGTGTGTGTGTGTGTGTGTGTGTGTGTGTAAAAAAGAGAGTGGCCTCACCTCCGACGAGCTGACAGCTTATTGGGCGGGGGTCATGTCTTGGCTGCGTCTCTGCAGGAAGCAGGAAGGAGAGGAGAGAGCCAGCCCAATAAGAATATGTGCCAGCTTGTTGGAGAACATGTTGAAGCCAGCTTGCCAGGTGAGCAGAAGATCGGAGAGAGGGAGAGAGAGAGAAAGAGAGAGGGAGAGAGAAAGAGGGAGAGAAAGAGGAAAAAGAGAGGGAGAGGGAGAAAGAAAAAGGGAGAGGAGAAAAAAGGAAAGGAAGGGAGAGAGAAAGAGAGAGGGAGAGGAAAGAAAGGGAGGAGAGGGAGAGAAAGGAAGGGAGAGAAAAAAGGAGAGGAAAGAGAAAGGGAGAGAGGGAGAGGAAAGAGGGAGAGAGAGAGAGAGAGAACTCATGCACAGCAGCCTCTATTTCTTTTTAATTAAACTCTTCAATCAAGCTACTCCCCTTGTGCACACGCGCATGCGTGCACAAGTTTTGCGGCTTCCAGTGTTTTCTCTGGGAAACGGATCCAAGTGGCTCTTTGAGTGTTTAAGGTTGCAGACCCCTGAGCTAAGGTCATCACCAAGTGGAACCAATGCTGTTTCTATACTGTTATCCTGGCCTGAAACCTGATTGACACTTTTTTAGTCCAAACAAAATACATAATTTAATATATTTTTAAAATATATTAGATATAATTGATGCATACTTTTTAGTAAGATAAAATAATCAATTTCCCTTAAGATTTGTTTTTTAACGATATGAACAGTTTTACATGTATTTTTGGAATGAAAGTATTTTAACTCATTTATGAAAAATGTTTTGAGATTCTTCGACAAGTCACTAATGTTGGGAAAAGTGGAAGAAAAGAACAGGATAGCCAGTCGCAAGTGGTAGACTCAGCTAAAGCAGCAGTAGAGTGAAAAGATCTAAAAGACCAAGTTGAGAATATAGATAGTCCTTGACATGCGATTGAGCCCAAAATTTCCTTTGCTAAACAAGAGAGATGTTAAGTGAATTTTGCCCCAATTTACAATTTTTCTTGCCACAGTTGTCAAGTGAATCACCACAGCTGTTAAGTTAGTAACATGGTTGTAAGTGTATCTGGCTTCTCCATTGACTATGCTTGTGATCACATAACCTCTGGATGCTGGAACCGTTATAAATAAATCCAAGCTTCCGAATTTTGGTCACATGACAATGCAACAGTTGTTAAGTGTGAAAAATGATCATAAGTCAATATTTTCAATGCTGGTGACTTTGAACAGTCACCAATGAGTTGAGGACTACCTGTAATCCTATAGAAGGTCTAACTATGTGATCATTAAAAGTTGACACTAATATAACAGCAAATAATCAAGAGTTCTTGAACAAGGAGACCCCAGCTGAAATTCTCCTAATCATTTGTATTAGGATTTGCATTGGCAAATACTGAAAATCACGTGACATTGAATCTCTATTTTCTAATTTGAATATTATTTGTTAAATAATATGGGGGCAATAGACTTGGTTACATACTGTTGAGTTAGATCTGTGTATTAATAGATGCTCCAGTAAAATGTTTTTTTTTTAGAAAAATAAAATAAAGGAAACTTGTTCAACTGTTGGAGCCCAGGAACTTTTCATTGTTCACAGACACATAATAGGAATCATTTTTAAAAGCACTTTGTGAGCAGATTAACTGAAATAAACCAATTGCATATACTTCCATAAAAGCTGAGGCCATAAATGTGAATATTGTCTTTTTTTTAAAGAATGAGTACTTAGACCAGTGGTTCTCAACCTTTTTAATGCCGCGACCCCCAACCGGTCGTAAGTCGAGGACTAAACCGGTCGTAAGTCGAGGACTACCCAACCGGTCGTACGTCGAGGACTTTCCCTGCCCGGGAGCGCCGCACATGCGTGGTTCCGCCCCCTACGCCAGCCGAGGCGTAGCTGGCAAGAGGCAGAGACGGAGCAGGCCGACCACCAGCTGGCCCAGCTCAAGGGAGGTAAGGCACCCGCCAGAAAAGGGGGGAAAAATGGCGGACAGCCTTGCTTGGCGACCCCCGTGAAATGGTCGATCGACCCCAAATGGGGTCGCGACCCATAGGTTGAGAACTGCTGACTTAGACCATGATTGATTGACTTATCTCAATGGAATCTGAAGTTTGTTCTTCATTTTAAAGCCAAATTAATTTTAATACAGATAACGTAGAGTTTCTTATAGTTGTATTTTAAAGTGTTCTATAATTTTTAAATTTGGACTTCTTGAACCATAAATTTCTTCTTAAATAGAAATTTGTGTTTTGTTAGTTTTTCAGTACCAAATCAAGGTGAAGAAAGAACACAGGACAGAAATTAGGATACATTACATTAGGTGACATTTTGAGAAAGTGTATGAGAAGGTGTGTACAAAATTTGTTCTATCAAAATGTACATAAAAAAATAGTTGTGTTAACATTTTTAAGAAATCACAAAAATAAAAACTAATGAGGGAATGTGCCAAATTAAAAAAAATAGAAGTAGGTGAATTTGAAAAAATTAACATATTTGTATGGTATTTGGATCAGACTAGTAATTTTATAAGTGTTTTATAAAGGAGTGATAATTTATGTTAAATATTCAGTTAAATAAGTGATTATCCAGACTTAAGTCACAACAACAATGAAAGACAGTGTCTTTTAGAATATAGAATAGAAATAAGGTTTATTTTTTCCATTTATAAAAAGCAAATTTTAGATTTGTACTCAGCAACAACATTTAGCTAAGTAGTCATGGTACATAAAGATAAATACATCTTAAGTGAATATTAGTACTTTGCTACTTTGTATTTGGTTAAGAAAATGTTGTAAAGAATACACAAGCGGTCTTCCATTGGTTTCCAGTCTTCAGCAATAGTTGTTTATGCTTTCTTGAAGAATCTTTTGGCTACTACTCCTTCGTAGGTGTAAGTCTGAAAATATTTTTAAAAAATAATAATAAATAAAACAGGTCACAATACCAGCAATATTTTTCTGGATTTACAGTGCTTATTTTCCCAGGAATAGTTTCAGTCTATATTCCAGAAACCAGCCCTTTTTAAGGTGACATAAATATATTAAAATCAATAATTGTTGAATAATTAATTAAATTGTGTCAGAAGTTAAGAAATTCATTCCTACGCTGAGCTACAATAAAACCCAAGAAGCATTTATGGCTGGATCCAGAAACTGTTTATTGCAGCAGGGCACATATTAGCAAGCAGGCAGAGATAAGACTATTGGAAAAAGCAAACATAGGCAAAATCAAATTGTGAAATGGAATCCTGCAAGGAGCACTACATGTGGCCAGGGTTCATGGCAAGGCCCCACTTATGATTAATATATTATCAAACATTTTAAAAATGTTTTTTCATGTTTTGAATTTTAGAAGAGATTGTTTTCTTAGGTTGTAATCTGATTTTCTTTTCTTTCTTTTTTGCTTCAGCCTCATAACTAGCTTCTCAACAATTTCTTATAACTGCAAGTTAATACTTAATAACATTTTTTTGTTATATCTTTTCAGTTCCTTATTAAGAAAATATGATTTTCTATTGTTGATTACTGTATATAAAAATATTTATGATATATTTACCTGAATCATTTCATCGCCTACAATTTCCCGCAGTGCGTCAAGTTTCTTTCCGTTATCTTTCCGGTTGAATGCGCCTATCAATTGGGTTCCTTGCAAGTCCCAGCTCCCCTACAGTACACAGCATGCATAAAAGGAAGGAGGGGAAAGAGAGAGGAAGGAAGATTTTTGAGGTGGTTGAACATATTTGTAGCTGGTTATAACTAAAGTGGGTGTGGGGATCAGAAACCAACTCCTGTGAGAAAAGGTTGAAGAAACTGGGAATATTTGTCCTGAGGTGGGTTATAGTATCCCACATCAACAGCAAAACTCTATGATTCTAAGAAAAAAAAGTTTTCTTACATTGAGTTCAGTTCCATCAGCTAAACTGTAGTCAAAATTCACTCCCAAAGTGAACACTATCTCTATGTTGCGGAAATTGCTGTTTTCTTGAATGGTGAATTTATTTCCCTCTTGTTTGATTGTGAGTTTCAGGTTGTCATGGGCTCCAAGTTTCCTCTTCACTAAATTAATACCTATGAAAGTTAAGATGAATGTAAGTCAGTTGCAAAGCAGACAGATTTTATTTTTAAATACTTATTTTTAGATAAATTATCTAAATACAGTGGCTAGAGTTGGACAATTTGAGTCTGTCCTCTGTCATTTTTGTTTGTCTAGGTTTTGGTTTCAAGGGCAAATACAACCAGTTTACCAGGATCTGCTTATGGTTTCTTAGGGTTGTTTAGTCAATGTGGAATTATACATGATGTACATCTCAGACTACTAATGTTCTCTTTTCCATATCTCCCAGTGGCTGAGTTCACAAAGCAGACTAACCCCAAGTCAAATAATATATGTGCAATATATGTGTAAGCACATAAGTTCAACCCCCACTAAACAATTGTCAGATCCTTTTTGTCTAAAGAGAAGCCAGATTGTTGTCAAAGGTCAAATTGCTCAGATCAGCTAACTATACATGACCTCATACTTCTGAACTGGAAAATAATGTCATTATAAAAAAGGAGAAGAGGAAGCTCTGGATGCAGAATTAATTAAAATTGCATATTTAGTCTACTTTTGTAATAAAAAGCCTAAGGCAAGTACCAAGGGTAAACTTGAAATTAGTGCAACTGCAGGGAACACAAATACTATTTAGTAACCGTAGAAAACCAATCATTCTAGAATCTTCTAGAATGGAAAATAGCATATATGAAAATAAATAATAATTAATTCCATTAAAAAAGGAAATATGGACCTAGAGGAGAATCTGTGAAATTATATTTGAGACAACAGTAAAGAGAATGTTACAAATAGAGGATGGAATAAAAAATCTTGCTGGAAGACTTTGGACTCTGATCTCCATCTGCTGCATATCGTCTTCCCCAGGTACCAGGGCAGAATCTACCCAGGCTGGCTGTGAGATGGTATGTGAGCAGGAATTTATTATTGAAACTCAGTAAATAAGCTAATGCTTTCATTGTTTAATTTTATGGTCTACTGTTGCCAGAATCCTAAACTTTTTGACAATGATTCCTGGGTGCAGTTGATCTTTAAGAGATCACAAGATTTTTTTAAGATTAGATTTTGTAGAAACCAAAGCCACTGAGGTTAGATTCTGAGAGTCTTAGGAAGCCAGATCCTAAGAGTTTGAGGAAGCTAGTTTTTGAGAAAGTAGAAGTCAGCAATGACTTCTGACCTATAACAGCAGAATGACTATAAATTAAATATAGAGAAAAAGAAAGAAAGCAAACTCTTATAGAGTCAACTTGTACAAGAAAGTAGGGATTAGAATTCGATATATTTGGAAGCAGGAAAATCAAATCTCCAAGATTTGAAGAGTCAACATAGAAAAAGACAAGAAGGATGCCTTGTGGACTTTGGTTTAAGCCCTTCCGTAGTCATGAAGAAACAAACATTTGTTAACATTTCTGTTCATTACAGAAAGAAATATACAAACCTGCAAATATGTAGGTTTACCAGTAAGTTTTGAGGGAAAGAGAATTTAAAAAAAAATAGAATGAAAGTCCAGTGATTAATAGTGGACAATAAAGAAGAATTCCAGCAAATGTCTTGAATTGCATCAACAATTTGTTTTTCTTAAGAATCAAGGAAATGCAGATCTTACCCATTATTTCCATGAACTTTTCATAGTTTTCACTCTTCTCTACTTTCCAGGTGCCATCAAATGCCATGGTTGTTAGCTATTACAAAAAAATGTAGAACTGAAGAAGGTTTCCTATCCAGTCTAGAGTAAAGCTTTCTGAAGGATTTATATCTTTACTTATCTTGAAAGCAATTCATACACTGATGTGGCTGACTAAAGTACAATTAGTCAGGTGACCCTATACGATTAAATCACTACAATGTGTTCAATATAATTAGTATAAATCTATTATATTTAATTATATCTCTTAAAAATATTGCCTCTATTCTTTGGTAGAGTTGTGATTACTAAGTTCTCTTTTTCCCTCTGAATAGGATGGACAACAGAAAAAAAACCTTAGATGATTACTGGTAACGAGAAAAAATGAAAATAAAAGTGGTGCTCTGTTTAAATGAAGCAACACTTATTTTAAGCAGCAACCCTACTATACTGTTACATTTTGTCATGCTTTTTATTCCTGATATCTGCTCAAGCAAGGGCAACTCTTCATTTCCTTTTAAACATATGTTCTCTTTGGAAGCTGCTCCATTGAGTAAGCTAAAGATATATAAAAAATGGGAGACAATGTACTCTGGAAACAATTGATTATAATTTCCTTTAACTCTAATCACGTGAGGCTTACTTTTCTGTTCTGAAATGTAGGAGATAGGTCTAAGGCAGAAAGTGATTTTAATGTAGAAAGCCAATCAAACGGAGCTGAGAAACAATGTACTCTTTGCACGAACATATGTTTTCATAAGCACCTCCACCTCCTACCTTAAGACTGATTTCATAATAACAACATAATAATCCTATTTCATAGATCTATTATCTAATATTTTAAACAGCAGTGGAATAGCTGAGCATCTTGTTTGAAGAATCATATTTCAAGAATTTTTGGAGCTAGAACCTAAGAAATGCAAACAACAATATCTATGTAGACAGTTGGAGAAGAGTGGGAATAGAGGCTCTAATTCCTCTTAATTCCCTGTTATTGCTGCAAATTTAACATTACTCCACAAATCTGAGATGAAGGCTGGTGACTATATTTAGGCTACATAAATGTATCACCCAAGGCTGTTCAGATGTCTGTTCAAATTTTCTGACTGGACTTAGGTACCTTTCAGTTACAATTCACAACTTATCACAGATAAGATAAGGTCTTCACTATGTAGCAATCAACTATGTTAGATAAGCAGTTTGGGATCATGATATAAATGAAGGACATTTTTTTCTGCAAAGTCTCTTGATACAACTATTGTCATGGCCAGAATTGTCAATGCCACTCCTGGAGAGAATATCAATAATTTGTAATGATTTTGCAATTGTGTATTTTATCAGCATGTAATTTTATGACTGGTTCAAACAAACCAACAGTCCTCCATTCACTTGAAAGTGTTCATCTAGAGCACTAAGAAAGTCTCCTGGAGAATAAAATGCAGACAATAGAATGAAAGGGAAGCAATAATTTAGGGGTCTCCAGCCTCGGCATTTTTAAGATTTGTGGACTTCAACACTCAGAATTCCTCAGCCAGCATGTTTTAACACAAATCTTTTTAAAATGCTTTAGAATGTAGGTAAAATAGATAGCATATCAAACCATGTCCTGTAGTAAATATCAGCAAATAGCCCGAGCCTGCAAAGATGAAGTGAGGAAAGCCAAGGCTCAAAATGAACTAAGGCTTGCGACCAAAGTCAAAAATAACAAAAAAAAAGCTTCTTTCAACATGTAAAAAACAAGAAAAAAGTGAAGGAAATGATTGGTCCATTAGTGGGGGAAACTGGCAAGAAGATGACAAGCAACAGGGAGAAAGCAGAATTATTTAACTTGTTTTTTGCATCTGTCTTTACACAAAGGAAAAAACAGACCAACCTACCAAAAATAGTGCCATAAAAAACAGAATAGAAACGCAAGTTAAGATAAGCAAGAAAACGGTAAGTGAGCACCTCTCCAGCCTAGATGAGTTCAAATCACCAGGACCAGATAGATTACACCCCAGGGTTCTCAAGGAACTGGCAGATGTGATCTCAGAACCATTGAACTATATTTTTCAAAGATCCTGGAGCACAGGGGAACTACCAGAGGACTGGAAAAGAGCTGATGTAGTTCCCATCTTCAAAAAAGGGAAAAAGATGGACCCAGGAAATTACAGACCTATCAGCCTGACCTCAATACTTGGGAAGATTCTGGAAAAGATAATCAAACAATGAATCAGCGAACACCTAGAGGCAAACAAAGTCATTACTAAAAGCCAACATGGATTTGTCAAAAACAGAACATGCCAGACAAATCTTATTGCATTCTTTGACCAAGTGACAAAATTAGTGGATCAGAGGAATGCTGTGGATATAATTTACTTGGACTTCAGTAAGGCATTTGATAAAGTAGATCACAACCTACTACTTGATAAGATAGAAAAATGTGGGTTAGACAGCATCACCACCAGATGGATCCGTAGCTGGCTGACCGGCTGTACTCAGTGTGTGGTCCTCAATGGAACCACATCTACATGGAGGGAAGTGTGTAGTGGGGTGCCCCAGGGCTCTGTTCTGGGCCCAATGCTCTTCAACATCTTCATCAACGATTTGGACGAGGGGATAGATGGGGAAATCATCAAATTTGCAGACGACACTAAGCTGGCAGGAATAGCCAACACTCCAGAAGACAGGCTTAGGATACAGGAGGATCTGGACAGACTTGAACACTGGGCGCTATCTAACAAAATGAAATTCAATGGTGAAAAAAGTAAGGTTCTACATTTAGGCAAGAAAAACCAAATGTACAGGTATAGTATAGGGGGTACCTTGCTNGGGGGACATGATAGCAGTGTTCCAATATCTCAGGGGCTGCCACAAAGAAGAGGGAGTCAAGCTATTTTCCAAGGCGCCTGAAGGCAGGACAAGAAGCAACGGATGGAAACTAATCAAGGAGAGAAGCAACCTAGAACTAAGGAGAAACTTCCTGACAGTTAGAACAATTAACCAGTGGAACAACCTGCCTCCAGAAGTGATGAATGCTTCAACACTGGAAGTTTTTAAGAAGAGATTGGATAGCCATTTGTCTGAAATGGTATAGGGTTTCCTGCCTGAGCAGGGGGTTGGACTAGATGACCTCCAAGGTCCCGTCCAACTTTATTATTATTATTATTATTATTATTATTATTATTATTATTATTATTATTATTATTATTATTATTATTATTATTATTATTATTTGTAGACCTCATTTGGTGACCACAATTGGAACTGGCATTTTTGTTAAACAATGACTGTGCTTACAATCTTACTTCCTCTTTCCTTCCTCAAAATATTTGGTTTGAATAGCTATGCATCTCATCAGCATAACAAAAATTTTCAGAGTTGGTTTCTGGTAAATCTCTAATACATAGATTAAATCGGAGTGGGGATAGAACTGATCCTTGTGGCAAGCCTTTCTTAATGGAAAAGAATTTATTAGTGATGCTTCCTACAGTGATCTTAAAGTGTTGGTTGTTTTTTTTAACATGTTCTCCAGAAGTCTTGTTATTTTAAGACATGGAATAATTTTCTTCAGGTTGATCATCAAACCATCAAGCCACAATGTGTCATACACTGCAGTCAGATCAATAAAAACCACAGAGCTTTTAGTCCTTTTTGTAAAGAGCTTCGATAAATGAAGTAAGAGCCAAAAATTGTTTGCAGCAGCTTCTCTTGGTGTGGAACCCAGCCTGGAAAGAAGGGACAACTCTATCAACAAGTTGGTATATTCTGTTATAAAGTAATTGTTCCAGAGGTTTATAGCAAATGCTAGAACAAAGCTATAGGATGGTAGCTTGCTGGATCATCAGGTGGTTTTCCGGGTTCTAGGATGGCAAGGTTTTGGGATATCTTGAATTGACTGGGGATTTTTCCAGTGTTCAAAGCATCTAGATAAAATTATTGTAGCCATCATCTAGCATTTGGTCCTAAATATTTAATAAACTCTGGGAACATCTCATCAGGCCCAGTAGCCTTCCATACTTTGAGGGTTTTTATTCTCATTTTCTGAGAATGTCAAAGAAAGAAGTGAGTTTTCTATAATTTGTTCATTTAATTTACTTGTTTGTTGTTTTATCTCTTTTTCAAAGTGTGGATCTAAAGAAATATTTTCTGCATGATTCTTTATGTATAAAGCTATCTGAGATGATGATATTTGGGTTTTCTGAGTAAGAATTGCTCCCAGTTTTCATAATAGCTGCTCCCAGTTTTCATAATAAGGACTACACTTTCCAGCATCTATGGGTGAAGTTTTTCAGTTATTTCTATCCGTATTTCTTTATGCTTGTTGTTAATGGAGCATTGTATTTCTTCGGTATTCATTATATACATTTTCTGTGGTGTGGTTCCAAAAAGGAGTGTATTCTTTTCTGTACCCATAAGATATATTATGGTATCTGGGTTGATCTTATGAGAAGTAATTGTAGTCCTAGAATTAAATATGACCGTTCTATGTTGAGTATTCAAGAATCTCAGTTGGATTTTCCTTGTATAGTGGGGGGGGGGGGGTTGTCTATGTGTCAAATTTAGAATGAGCATGGCTGCAGCCATTTTTTCCTTCTCATTTCTAGTTGACACATAGCACAGAGGGAGGGGGGTTGCCAGGTTTTGCGCTAGACAAAACAGACTCTTTCTCTCTCGGACTTTCTCCTATGGGAACCATGGTCATCAGCTGCTCCCAAAACAGCGGGCTGGGCGTTTCATGAAAACAAGCTGTGTGGGGAAACATAGTTGCTTGCATAGCCTTAGGGGTGGGATTTTTTAACTTTGTATTGGGGAATTGTTATGCATCTCTTCAGACTTGGTTTCACTTTTGAAGTGCCAATACTTTGTATCAGTAAACATGTTCTTTGAGAAATTTGCAAGCCTCGGAGTTCAGCTTTATTTGTCTCTGTCTATCGGAACCATAACACTATGGTTACTAGCAGTGGTGGTATTCAAATATGTGAACAACTGGTTCTCTGTGTGGATGCCGCTTCCGGAAGTCCATTCTGGGCCTGGGCAACAAAAAATTAGCTACCAGTTCTACCGAAC